AGTAGTTAGTAGTAGTTAGTAGTAGTTAGTAGTAGTTAGTAGTAGTTAGCAGTAGAAGTAGCAGTAGTTAGTAGTAGTAGTCGTAGTGGTCGTCGTAGTAATAGTAGTAATAGTTAGTAGTAGTTAGTAGTAGTTAGTAGTAGTTAGTAGTTAGTAGTTAGTAGTTAGTAGGTAGTAGTAGTAGTAGTAGTAGATAGTAGGTAGTAGCCTAGCATTAGTAGTCGTAGTAGTCGTCGTAGTAGGAGTAGTGGTGGTAGTAGTAGTAGTAGCAGGAGCAGTAGGTAGTAGTAGTAGTAGTAGCAGTAGTAGTAGTAGTTAGTAGTTAGTAGTTAGTAGTTAGTAGTTAGTAGTTAGTAGTTAGTAGTTAGTAGTTAGTAGTAGTAGTAGTAGTAGTAGTAGTAGTAGTAGTAGCAATAGTAGTAGAAGTAGTAGTGGCAGTCGCAGTCGCAGTCGTGTTCGTAGTCGTAGTAGTAGTAGTAGGAGGAGGAGTAGTAGTAGTGGTGGTAGTAGTAGTAGTACTAGTGCTAGTGTAGCGGTAGCGGTAGCGGTAGTGGTAGTGGTGGTAGTGGCAGTAGTAATAACAGTAGTAGTAGTAGTAGTAGTTGTTGTTGTTGTTGGTAGAAACAAAACCAGCCGCCTGACGTAATTGTCACATGTTGTAACTTTGGAACTTCAAGGGACAAGGTTAGGGATACGGTTGAAGGTTGAGCGAATGCTGGTTTCGTAAGTAGGTGGACTTGTTGGACTTGTTTCACTGAAGTCTGGGCTGGTCCGTTTTTAGTGTGTTTGAGGTGTTGTTCTGAAGGGGAGGGCCAAAAAAACAACAACGGGGCTGCAGTCTTTGTTTCTAGGAGGGGGTAGAGACAACAACACCTTTTGAGGGAGGGGTTCCAAATGGTTAGTAGATTTGTATTACTTAGCTAACTTTTGGCTAACTATGTCAAACAAGATAAACCCTTAGAAGAATTAGCTAATTTTTAACATGTTATGTTGCTGATTTTCTGATCATTCTTTTTTTAAAGACACATGGCAAAACCATGTGATTGACAACTAACCAAAAGTTAATGTTGTTTGAACAGTTTGTCAATTTGGCACTAACTTTTTGCAAATTGTTTGCATCAAAAATTTGTCTGCCAGATCCTGTGTCATGTGTCACCCAGTGTGGCTCATGCTTCACGGTTTGTGTTGCACTTACACATTAGCCTGTGTGGCTCATGCAAATTTTCGCCTGTGTGGCTCATGCGCATGGTTTAGCCTTTGTGGCTCATTCACATGATCTGTGCCCCCATGCGCAACAGCCCTTGTGGCTCATGCTTCAACAGCTTGTGTGGCTCATGCTTCAGTAGCCTGTGTGGCTCATGCTTCAATAGCCTGTGTGGCTTGTGCTTCAATAGCCTGTGCGGCTCATGCCTCCAATAGCTCTTTCAGTGGTCAAGAAAATGTTTACAACAAACATCTTCACTTATCTTTGGAGCAGCAGCATTTCACGTGGGAAACATGTGCGCACTTGGTGACCACACAGCTCAGAAGCTCAGATAGTTCCAACATCTTTTGTCCACCAGCCATGGACCCAGAGTTGAAAAAGGCACTTGTGGCCTTGCGGGATGATTCTTCATTGGCCATAAATAGGAAAGCAAGCCAGATGATGAAGAAGCTGCAGGAAGCCAATCTGTTGTGGGAACAAGTGATTCCACCTATGCAGATGCTAGCTCGTCCAGCAAACCGTTCAGGGCAAATGTTGAACTGCAATGATGCCCACACCACCGAGGGGGCAATGGTTTTGACTATAGGCTGCTGCCCTGAGAAGCTGCATGGTTCCCTTTGCATTGAAGTCTCAACAGACCCTACAGCCAAAAAGAAGCAGCTGGATAGCAACATGCAGCTGCCTCAATGCTGTCCCCGGTTGGTGGCCAAAGGCGCTTGTTGACGCCATATGACAGCTTTCATGAAGGCTGTGATGTGTGGCAGTTGTAGCGCCCTGGAGCCAGACTTGCAGCAAGTCAATGGTGGCAGGCTCACTGAAGATGCCATTGCCACCTTCTACCAAGATGAGGCCTTCAACCAAATGTGCCAAGCAAGGTTGGACGTGGAAGGTGCTGGCATCAGAAGTGGAAACTGAACTTGAATGGATTCCTGGCTTCTTCCAAGGGGCAATGAACATTTCTCAGCAAGTCCACAATGTGCCCACAGAGATGAGCAAGCCATGAGTATTGCCTGGTGGTATGACAAAAGTGGCAAAGTTGAAGATGCTGTGGCCCAAACATAGGCTCCTTAAGACAATTGCTCAGTGGGTTGTCAAATATGGAGGTGGAGAGTGCTTTGAATTGGTCAAGCTGCTGCAAAGCGTCAGCAAGCAGTTTGGTGGCTCAGTGCTGCTTGGGGCAGAGTTCTTGACAGCAGTTGTTGACGATTTGGAGTTCAACTTTTCCATTCTTGCGCACAGCCTTGATTGGCACACAGCTTTGCTGCCCAAAGGCATTGGTCAAGGACAGAGTGGCCAAACTTTTGTCAAAGGCAGACATTGACAAGTTGAAGTCACCACAGCTCTTTGGAAGCATCACCCGAGCAGAGAGCTTGATGGTTGCTGGTTGGAAGCTTCTAGGTGGAAGCTCTGAGCTGACCCATGGCGAGAAATGTATGGTGGTGGGCAGGCTTATGACAAGGCTGGTGCTCTTTGTTCTGCAGAAGCAGGGCAAACCGAAAGAAGGCAAGAATTATAGCAGCGGAAGAGATCAACGCAACCTTTGGCGAGGAGGTTGTGCATATGGCCAGCTATGGGAAACTCCCAGCTCAGAAGAAAGAACAAGATGAAGCAAAACAGGTGAAGCCAGTACAAATGCATGACACCACTGACCCCAAGTTCATTGCCTTTGGGAGGTTTTCCCACATTCAAGTGGGAAAGCTCTACGCAGAGAAAGAGGACCCCACAAAAGCCTTCAAGTTCATTGAGATGAAGGAGGCCACTGGTGTGTTTCACCACAGGCCCTTTTTGGTGAGCCAGAGATCGAAGAAGTGGAGCATATAGAGCTGAAAAAATGGAGAGAATGGAAAAAAGATGAACTAGCCCTCTTTGAGGGAGACATGCTTGTGAATCTTGGCCCAGCAAAAAAGCAGAGTCAAAGGCTGAGAAGGTGAAATCAGAAGTGCAAAGCTTGCTTTTTGAATTCTTTTTGGAACATGGAGAAGCGCATGTGGCCTATTCAAACATTCGCCAAGTCTTTGCAGCCAAGAAGTACAAGAAGGATGAGCTGATTATTTCCATGGGGCAATGCTGCCATCATAGAGGGAAGCAAAGCCAAGGACTGGCAACAAAAGATAGCATTTGCGTGCAAGTCACTCCACCCAGGTGCGACCTCAAGAAAGCAGAAGGAACATTTGCGCCATACTTCCATGTGAAACCACAGCATCTTGAAGAGGGTGCTTGTAATATGGAGAAAGTGGTTTTGAAGACCAATGATGCTTGCATCCCCTATCTGAGGAACAAGCGGGCATTAGAGATTGGCAAGGTGTCTGCCCTCAAGAAACCAAAAAAGAAGTAAGACCAGTGGGCAAAGAGTGGAAAAAAGTCTTTCCTCAAACAAAGTTCATTAGCCACCAAGGCTCACGCACTCATTATAGCCACCCAGGCTCATGCACTCATTAGCCACCAAGGCTCACGCACTCATTTGGCCACCAAGGCTCACGCATAGCAAAAGCGTCTTGATGCTCATGCAACCATTAGCCTTCTAGGCTCATGCAACTCATCAGCTTTTCAGGATCGTGCAACTCATTAGCCTTCCAGGCTCATGCAATTCACTAGCCATCCAAGCTCAAGTGAAATATAGCCTTGTGGGCTCATGCTGAGAACATGTTATGTTATGAGTATGGCTACTGCATGTAGCTGCGCCTTGCCCACCTTCAAGCCTCAAGGTGGCCTTTGTTTGGGCAGTGGGCGCAGCCATGGTTGAAATCAAAGAGAAATTGATGATCTCTTACAATGGAGGTCCTGAATGCACCATTCCACACAATTTGACCACCAAGACAGAGAGTGGTGAGCAAAAGTTCCTGAAGCTGAGGCCTTCTTCGGCAGCTTTAGCAAAAGTCATT